CTAAATGTTCATGTTTCGAGTAAGTTATGTATTTTATTTATTATTGTCTAGTACTTTGCAGATGTACCCTTTTTAATAAACCGATACTTTGTAGATGTACCCCATATATATATATATATATAGATATATATATATATATATATATATATATATATATATATATATATATATATAAATCATGGCATATTGTAGATGCACCATAGATATATATATATATATATATATATATATATATATATATATATATATATATCCTTATACCACTTTTATTATCATCTTTTGTTTAGAACAATGAGTTAATGATATATTCCCTTCCTAGGTTACTGGGAAATTATTAGTATAGGTGTGTTAATCATGATTTGTTCTTCTGTTATAGTATATTGTATGTTCCTCCATGTTTCTCTTTATAGTATGTTCCTCTCTGTCCTAGTTATAGCACGTACTGAACCCCTAAACTATACCTATTATAGTTTACTAGTATGTTTACTTGAACTGTTACTGACTTGAATAAAAGACTCATTTTTCTACTAAGTTATGATTGTACTTTAAAACGGTGTTTTATAAACAATAAAGTAACACAATTTAAAAAGAGTTTTTGAAATGGTTTTGATCACTTATAAAAGCATAAGAAATCCTTTAATGTGATGGTTATCACAAATAACATTTACACAATTTATCATTGTGTTCAACTTGTATTCCCCCTGAAAGCATTTAAAAACATTTAAAAGATTGATTATAGGGGTATGAACTCACCTTATGTGGGTGATTCAACTGCAGACTCATGTAAGGATGAGAAGTTCCACAAATGAATTCCAGAGACACAAACGAGTCCTAAATGACATATAATGGCATATATTGGCATGAATTTAGTGTTTAAAAGCAACTAACATGCAAGGAAACACCCTTAGGGACTAGGAAACCCTTGGACTAAGTGTTAGAATCACAAGTGATTAACTAAATGGAGTATACAGCCACACCATGGAGTGTACGGCCAAGGGTTGTACGGTCGTACACTCATGGTAAAACAGGCATAAGAGGGTGTTTGAACCATGGGGAAGCTAGTGGGTATATTGCTCAACAAGAATATGAACTAAGTTCTCATTTTGGAGGGCCTTTTGGAGTGTTTTGAGGTGTGTACGACCATGCAAGGGTATACGGCCGTACACTCCTTTTGTTCTTGTAAAATGGTCGTTTCTAGGGTGTTAAACAAGAGTCCCTAACGTATACTAAGTATATGGAAATGATACTTACGATTTGGAGCTTGTTGGGGGTTCACAACCACCAAGAACTAGTGTGTGTTCTTGGTGTTCTTGGTGAAAGATGAAGATTTGAAGATCTATCATAAAAGAGATGTTTTCATGGATGAATCATGAGATGATTACAAGACTAGGAAGGACATCAAGAAAGATGGAGGAATCACTTACCACTTTTGAAGATCAAGATGAAAGGCTTGATGATAGTTGAGAGAGTTTGAGGGGATTTCGGCCAAGGAAAGAAGAAAATGAAGAAAATGATGTGATGTTATATATATAGGAGGGAGTGTACGGCCACCTTGGGTGTACGACCGTACACCCATGTTTACGGCCACCTTGAGTGTACGGCCGTACACACCTCCTGATGGTGTGTTCGGCTCGAAAAGCAATACTATGACTTAGGGTAACTCATCCCTATACCCAAAACTTGAATGTATTATGCTTAGAACACTCAAACAGATCCATAACGATGCTAAAAGATAGCAGAAATGAGTCTGACTCTCAATTGATTGACTGGACTTTCAAGACAAAAATTTTTGGGTTGTCACAGTTGTGCCGATAGTTTTCAACACTGATGTATTTGATTGGAGTGATATGGATAATGGATCCGTTTACCCAACTTGGACAGGCTTTGATACGGTATAATTGTGTTTGGATTACATTACCTAAGTAATCGTAAATTATAATATAATGTTATTTAATGATTAATTATTTCTAACCTTTTGTGTAGTTTTACATCCCAATTAATATACCAATTGTTCACTGGTTTTTGGGTGCTTTGGATTTGAAGACATTCAAAATGACTATATACGATAATCACTAGAAGAGCGGCTACTTTTCACAAGAAGGTGAATGGTTTATAGGTATGAAAGCCCGCATCCACAGACTGCTAGTGAGTATCAACTACGGGGGTATCAAACCAACCGATGCAATCCCACTTGAGAGTTTCAACACGACTCTCGAAAACGCCCCAGACGTACCACAACAGATTGACAGTAGAATGGATTTTGGAGTGTTTTTGTATTGGTTTCTGGAGATTTTGATCGACGGGAAATCATATTTTATAGAGGGTGAAAAGCGGTCAATGAGCAATGTTATATTATTCCATACATGAATGCTTTATAGGCGGGTTACATATAGAATTTCCCAAAATATCACTATTTCATTCACGTAAGAGATACACAAAACAATGTGGGATACGAATAGAATTTCCCAAATATAATGGTCATTTTGTGGGCCGGGTACCCATTTGATTTGACCATTCCAAACTTGTCATCTACAGAATCCTGACGCTCCTTCCCCTCCCTTTCATCGAAACCATCGTGTGTTGGTCGATACTCGAATACCAGTGATCGAAATTATTCCAAAGCTTCCGTCGTAAAGATGTCATGTTCTATGGGTTTTCACTCGCGATTGACATCCTCATCCAGGATTCCATCTTTCGAATTTGTATCTGGGTCAACCGCAGTTTCTCCACCTGCAGTGCGCTGCCCTGGTCGTCGTTCACACACCTCCAGCAGCCTTAAAGTCGGCATCAAAATCAAAACTTGTTCAAGAAGGATTGATTCTACGCGATGCTTTGCTGGTATATGTTTTATTCCACTTATCTATCGTTTTGATTCGTTTATCGATCGTAGTGAACGTTGACTGATAATTTCATTCTATCAACCATGACAGCATTTTAACCAATATATGGAATACTTGCGTCTTCGTACCATCCACAATTTTCTTTTAAAATTAGGGTTTCTTTTATATTTTCAGAAATTAACAAGAATCGCTTTGCTTGTTTATTTACACAATGAAGTTAATTATTTATGTAAATAGTTTTTAGGGTTTTGAATTCTTGGCCCATATTTTGTGTAACCTATATTTATAGTAATTCTTCTATCAATGTGTTAATTATCTTGAATTCTAACATCTATGATGTTTAAACATATACACCTACCCTCAAGATGAGATACTAACGTAATAGTTGCAGGATAGATTAAGAAAGATTGATAAATGATTGTTATTGTTCTTACTTAAATGTGAATAATCACATTCAATAATCAGTTAATGACATGATCTTATTTCATTTGTCAAATGGCTTTGTTTGCTTTTGCAGCATTAAATCCAGAGTTAAAGACTACATTGGATAAAGTTGTTACATCACACAAGGTGATTCTTTTCATGAAAGGAACTAAGGACTTTCCACAATGTGGATTCTCAAACACAGTTGTTCAGATTTTGAGATCAGCCAATGTACCTTTTGAAACAATTAATATTCTGGACAATGAAATGTTACGTCAAGGGTTAAAGGAGTATTCTCAATGGCCAACATTTCCACAACTCTACATTGATGGGGAGTTCTTTGGGGGTTGTGACATAACTGTTGGTAAGTTCATTCCCTCATGCTTTTAAATATACATATATTTTTAACTTTATATCCATCCATACATCATGATGCATTTTAATCAGTATCTCTTCAATCTTCATGGATATAGTATGTGTAGTTAATAACTCTCTTATTACAGAAGCATACAAGAGTGGAGAATTGCAGGAACTATTGGAGAAGGCGTCATTATCCTGATTGATATAAGTTTGTATAATTCATTTCCTTCATAATTGTAGAAAAACATGTTATATTATTCCATACACGAATGCTTTATGTAATCGACTTTTTGATTACTGAAAGGGAGGTTCTGTAAGTTGTATTTATGAAAGAATGTCTTCATGTGTGTTTCAGTGATGTATATGGAGAAAAAAAGATGCATACAGAAATCCAATTCATTCAGCATTCAACATGCCTATTATTACTATCACCCTGTTTTTTTCTTCCTCATGAAGTGTTGTCTTGATAAATAATGTTTACATTCTTTTGAGAAAATGTTGGTATGAGGAGGGCAAAGTTAATAAAAAAGTTAGGACTCAATGAGAAATTTTCATTTTCCAAATTCTCTAGTAACAAAGAAACACTCATATGATTTATCCTTGTCAAATAAACTAATAAAATTGAAACACCATTGCATATCTTGCTTACCAGATTTCCTCAGTTAATCCCTATTCTAATAAATGAATAATCTCTTTTTGCCAAGTGTCATTTTAATACAACTTCTTATTAATACTATACATGTGATATGTAGATATATTAGGCAATTCATTTCAAAATTCAAATTTACATTTTCTAATTATATGTTAAATTTGAAGTTATAATAACTTTAAAAATTTGATATATCTCTTAATTAATAATTTATTTAAAATGAATTATTTCAAATAACTGATTAATAATTATAAATTTTTATTATAAAAGTTTAATTAATTTTATAACCGTGGTTCCCACGGGTTATAAACTAGTTAAGAATAGAGAAACACTGCCATTTTTATCATCTTTTGTCGCAAAATTGTAAGAAGATGGAGAGCAAAGATTCAACCATTAATATAATCGCCAATCCTGCTACAAGATTCCATAATAACATAAAATTTTCACCATTGTTGACATGAATACATTATCGGCTTGACTAAATGTTTATGCAGTGTTTGGCATGTATAAGTTATCTTATTGCAATGTAACGTTTGGTCAGACCACTAAAGTAGCTTATAAGCTAACTTTTTACAAAACTATTTGATATGGTTTATTTATAAGTTCATGGGGCTTCTTCACAAGTTTTTAAAATAGACTGCTAATGTCATTTTATGTCATCTGACTAATCAACTAATTTTTATCAAACATTATTACTTTATCAGCTACCAACTAGCTTTTTAGCTGGTCTACCAAACACAACCTTAATATAATTAGAACCAGTCCCTTATTCCATGTGCAATAAAACCAAACTCACGTTTTCATGTATGTGTGCATCACTCATTACAACATTTTCTTTAACCTTTTTCTACAAGTTCTAGGTAACAATTATGTAAGAACTTGTATCGCTATTTCCCATCAAAGGGACACCTAACAACATAATATATTTCTAGTTTCAATATGCATTTTTATTAGCCATGTCATGTAACTTGGTATATGTTGACTTATTAGCCTTTGAGATTCCTAAAACCACACACACACACTTAGGAATCAGCAAGCTCAATCAGTTGATCAACAACATGTGGATCTGCTAATGTGGTTGTATCACCAAGCTCATCCAGCTGTCTAGAAGCAATTTTCCTCAAAATTCTTCTCATAATTTTCCCACTTCTTGTTTTTGGAAGACCAGGTGCCCAATGGATCTTGTCAGGTGCAGCAAATGCTCCAATCTGATTGCAACAAAATACAAACTTAGACCAATTTTTTATACAACAATTAGAAGTTAGAAGCCTTTTTTATCTGTTTTTTAGTAAATAAAACTTACATGAGTTCGAACAGAAAGTACAAGGCTTTTTCTGAGATCTTCACTGTATGGGACACCCTCAACTGGAGTAACAAATGCGTATATACTCTGACCTTTCACCTATTTATATTAGGTATCACAAAATAGATAATCATTTCTTACATTTTAACAATAATAATATCATATCACATGCAAATAAGAGAAGCTACATACCTCATGTTCAACACCAACTACAGCTGCTTCAGCACATTGAGGATGTGAAACTAGTGCAGATTCAACTTCTGCTGTGCCAATTCGGTGTCCACTGTTCATTTAGACAAATTGACTTACTTTCTGTTATATTTGAATACAAGTGTTCCTTTTTGACTTAATAAAGAAAGTCAGGAAATGAGGTTTTTCATATATTATTTATCCAGATAACACTTAATTCAGTTTAAATCAAAGTACCTGACATTAATTACATCATCAACTCTTCCAGTGAGCCAATGATATCCATCCTTGTCTCTGAAACAAAATTTAGTTCAAATGAAGCAATAGAATAATGTCAAATAACTTTCCACTAAGTAATCATGACATTTGTGGTTTATATCTTAAGAGGTATGTGGGTGTTTTTAGCTAATAAAGGTAGAAAAAAAAATTATGAAATTTTCTAAAGATGGTATTATTAAGTATTATTATTACCTGCTGCAGCCATCACCACTAAAATAATAGCCAGGGAATGCACTGAAATAAGTTGTTTCATATCTTTCATGATCCCCATAAAGTGTCCTAAATGCCCCTGGCCATGACTTTTTAACACATAAATACCCACTGCATTCACCTTCAATCTCCTTGCCCTTTTCATCCACTATCACAGCCTGCATTTTTTATTTTATTAAGTGTGATGATTTTAGAAGATTCAATGATTTGAAGGAAAACCATATGGATTTTGTTTTATAAATTATATAAAAAAAAAAAAAAAGATACCTGAACCCCGAAAAATGGAAAAGTAGCAGAACCTGGTCTTTGAGGCCATGCACCGGGCAAGGGCGTAATCTGGAAAAAGAAAAAATGATCAAATTCAATTGTTAATTACTTAATTATCAAATTATCATTAATGCAAATAAGTGTAAATTACACATACCATGAAACCTCCCGTTTCTGTTTGCCACCAAGTATCTGATATTGGACACCTTGAGTCTCCAACTACATTGAAAAACCACCTGTCATATCAAAAACAAAAACAAAAAAAAATCCATAAATAAAAATTTTCAATTAACCCCTAAAAATAAAAACAATCAAAAATTAGTCCCAAAAAGAACCTCCATGCACTTGGATTAATCGGCTCGCCTACACTTCCAAGAACTCGTAAAGACTTACGTGAATAACGAGTCACATGCTGCATTTTAATTTTAAACAACAAAAAATAATTATATCTTAATCTATATAAGCTAAATATCAATGTTTATGATGAGGTTTTATATAATAATAATAAAAAACTTGCCTCGTCACCCTCACGCATTAAAGATCGCACCAGTGTAGGAGCAGTGTAAAATATTGTCACCTTGTATTTGTCAACAATATCCCAACATCTCCCAAAATCTGGATAATTGGGAACCTGAAAACAGTTAAATAACATGTATTATATATGGAATCATAAAAAGTTATATCATAAAAAAAATATAAAAACTATGTTTATGATTAAACTAGTTTACCCCTTCATAAAGTACAACTGTTGCCCCATTAAGCAGAGGTCCATAAGCAACATAGCTGTGTCCAGTAATCCAACCACAGTCAGCTGTACACCTACAATACAATAGATTAATAGAAATGTATTAATAAGTCAAAAAGATTCACTCACTCATATCATATATTCATATACAGCTTAGTTTATTGGATTAAGTCAAAAGATTTACCAGTATACATCAGATGGCTTGTAGTCAAATGCATATTTGAATGTTGTTGCAGTGTAGATCATGTATCCTCCTGTAGTATGCACAACACCCTATCAAATGCACCAACATCATTTTTTTTTAAATAAAAAAAAAAAAAAAAAAAAAACTCATCCACAGATTAAGAAAAGATCAAATCAATAGGAGGCAGGGGTATTATCGACCTTTGGCTTTCCTGTGCTTCCGCTGGTGTACAGAAGGAAAAGCGGATCCTCCGCATCAACCCACTCAACATCACATTTAGTAGAACATTCTGGAACAACATCCTGCAATTTTTTAATAATTAATTAATTAATCCTGCAAATTTTATAATTAGAAAAGAAATCTAGTGTTTTTTTTTTCTACCTGCCACCAAGCATCTCTTTCCTTTTGCCATTTAGTAGCTTCCTTTTTCATGGCTGATTCATTTGCATATGTCAAACACAAATCTGTTTGTGATCAAGAAAAAGGTCATACTCATGTATATATAACTTAATAATTATACTTTTGTTTTTAACATAAAAATAAATAGCTCATACCAACAGAGACTCCATTTTGAGATGACTCTGAGAGTGCAGAATCAACAATTTCTTTAAGGTTAATGATCTTTTTCCCTCTTTTAATTGCATTACAAGTTATCACAATTTTCGGTTTGCAATCCATAACTCTTTGAACAAGAGAATCTGCAGAAAATCCAGCAAAAACAACCGAATGAACAGCACCAATTCGAGCACATGCGAGCATGGTGATTGGTAGTTCCATAAGCATAGGTAAATAAACAATTACAGAATCACCCTTTTTGACTCCATTGTCTTTCAAGTAATTAGCAAGCTGTCAAATTTCAATCACAAACTACAAATTGAGAACGAATAGTAGGGGTGTAATGCATGAATGTAAGAAAAGGTATGAATCGAATCACCTGACAAACTCTATCTAGCAACTGATTGTAAGTCAAGGAATCATCAACACCAGGTTCGTTTCCTTCCCAGTGAATTGCAATTTTGTCACCGTTTCCAGATTCGATGTTTTTATCCAAGCAATTATAGCAAATATTGGTGATTCCACCCTTGAACCACTGAACGAAATCACAGATAGCAATAGGAAAACGAACTTGTTAAGAATATGATGGAATTGGAATTGCAGAAGTAATGGAGATCTGATTACCTCTATGTCGATTTTCCCTTTTCTGATGTCGAGATTCTCAGAGTAAACCTGCTGATCCCATTTCTTCTTCCAGTAGAATTCGGAAGCTATGTCGGACCAAAAGCTAGCTGGGTCTTCGATTGATCTATTGTACATCTCCAGGTACTGAAACGGTATCAATGAACATCAATCGTGAGATTTTTTTTATCAACGATGAAATGAGGGGAATTACCTTTTCGAAAGATGAAACGTGGGCCTTTTGGGAGAAATCATGACTGGGTAAGATAAGATCATCATCGGAGGCAAGATGCTCGCCGAGGATTACAGCTTTCAGTTTCGATAACCGGGAGGAAAGAGAGGGTAGATGACGGAGGTGAAGGGCTGTGGTAAGATTGTTCGCCAAGTCCGGCAGCCGTGATCGGAAGGGATTACCGGAGTTCACTCTTGCTCTTATTGTTTTGAACGATGAAGAAACAAATACGTTGGAATTGGTCCTATCCACAAAGGGTCGATCGCCTCGAAGAAGAACTTGGGTGAACTGGCAGTAGCTCCTCCTGTCAACGATATCGCCATTAATGCAATCGTAATTGAAACATGCATTAACAGCCATCTATCTCCTTTCCTTTCTCCCTCCCTCCCTTCTCTCTCTTAGAAATTCTAAAACCTGTAATTGAATATGGGAGCTAACTGAAACAATAAACATTGTTTTTCTCTTACCATAAATACGAAACCCAAGAAATCTAACCTTGGTCTCCTGTTTTTTTTGTCTTTTCCTGTGTGCTATCTTGATTCATCGTACGTTTATGTTATTTTATTAAACTTACCGTAAAAAGAAGTAAAATTGAAGATGAAGAGTCTTTACTTTACCAGGTATATATAAAAGAAAGGGTTCTTTTTGCATGGGATTGGACCCCCATCGATTCTTGCAAACAACACGTCTATGGATTCGGCATTTGTTTTGTCTATGCAAAATCCCTCCCTTTTCACAGTCGAATGAACAAAACATCAGTACGTTCCAAAGATACAAATCGAGAAGATCATCAATACTATGAATTGAACGTGTGGATGTCATCTTTACATAATGACCATCATCTTTAATTATGGCAATACTCATCTTCAAACCCTCAACTATACAAAAGAAGTTAGGCGAAATGCAAAATGTTATGTTTGCCATAAAAAAAGAATCTTATGTAAACATGAAACACGTATCTTAGAGGAGTGTGTTTGGTTATTGAAAATATTTTATTTTTTTCATGAAAATTTTGGAACACATTTGGTTGATTTAGTTTTTTAAGATTTTTCAAAAAATGAAATTTGATGTTTTGTAAATTGTATGTAAATTAGAAAAATGTTTTTTTATTTTTTATGAAGTCTTTTAATTTTCTAAAATAGAAAATGAAAACTCAATTTATTCCAACCAGTCGTGTTTTCTGAAATTTTCACTGAAAATTGAAAATGAAAATTCAATTTTATTTTCTAAAAACATTTTCTAGAAAAATAAAAATCGTTTCTCACAGCCACACAGTGTTAACTTTTGGTATACTAAAGACTCATAAAAACATTATGTAATACATAGTACCACATCATCACGGACGTGTTTATATTATGACAAAATGGGTCTTTTACCCACCTAAAATTTTAAAATATACAACAAAGTATATATCGAAAATATTAGGACTTATTGTAAAAAATATGAAGGACCTACTTGTAGTATTTGACAAAAAAAGTATCATAACCTACTTTATCGTGCTGGAAATATATATATATATATATATATATATATATATATATATATATATAAACAATAACAGATCTATCATATTTTGGTAACATGAAAGAGTCTCACAGACTCGAAGATTAAAATGGTGAGTGATTTTTCATTATAAATAGATTATTCATCTTTCACATTTCTACACCATGAAGCTTGTTGACGTCTAGTTCAGACCGACTTTACTTCAAGTTTAAGTTGGTTTTAGTTAAAAAAAATTAAGAAATGACCGCTTTGGGCTCGATCCCTCATCGTCATTTTTTATACAAATTGAAGCGGTTATTTTTCTTTTGAACCTGATTTTCTCTTGAACCTGCCCGGTTGAATCTGGTTAATAAATCATATGGTTTTATGTAATGTACAATAAGATTATGTAATTATGGATTAGATTGATTATTATTATTATTTTAGAACGGCTACCGATACACACTCTAATCTACTCATTAATTTCGTATATGTCCGAGACAAGACCATACCTCTAGGCCAAATTTATTGAACTTTTGTAGAATTCAATGAATTGTAGGAAAAAAATCATAGTATGAAAATAAAATAATAATGTAACAATCATTTAAACTATTTAGAGTTTAATGTAGACAAAATTGCAAAAATGGTCCCTATGGTATGCATTTTTTTGGGGTTTTCGTCCAAACCTCGATGTTTTTTGTTTCATGGTCCTTTTGGCCATGTTTCTATGTGGAAATGGTCCCTGTTAAACTTAAAATTACTAATATACCCTTTTAATTTGTTTTTCTCACTTTCTTAAAATTTTTATCCTTTATTTTAATATTAATGTAATTAAAAAAATAGAATGGGGCCCACCCCACCCCTCTCTCTCTCTTATAGATTTTTTTATTAATGTTTTTAAGATATATTTTTGAGAGAACCCCTCTTTAAAATTACATCATATTACTCCAAAACATGCTACATGCATATTTATAAACAATATTTTACATTGATAGTTTAATTACAAAAGACTGGATACAAACCGACCGAGTTTTAGTATATCTCTCTCTCCATTAACCTGAAACACAAAAATGAAAATAGATTTGTGCGTTCCGATCAGCATCCAACAAAAATAGGGAAACCATTCTTATGCCCTAATAATTGTGAAATGAAATCGTTGTATTGTATGGGATTTCATGGTCCTGGTATCAGTAATGGTGATCTCATGGGTCGTAACTCTCTACACGCTCTGGCAAATGGTTGAGATGCACGAAATGCTTCCCGAAAAACGATTCGACAGAAACAATGAGATCGGGCAACACGCTTTTGGGGGGAAAACTCGGTCGATATATCGTCGTTCCACAGCAGCTCATCGTTGAAGTCGGTGTTAACATCGTGTACATGGTGACTGGAGGGATTTAATCAATTGCCATCATTCTCTCACCCCCACTGTGGAAACGCTAGCAAAAACAGCGGTTTGATTTGATGATGAAAGTCTAAAGGAACTCGAAGAACAAGAAGCAATGATTTTACATAAACCCAATCAAAATCGCTTCAGCTGTTTTTGAAATTTGAAAATAAAGAATTCGAATCTTCTGTTTTAATTTCCCCTTGGATCTGCCCATCCGTTTCCAGCTATCGGGATTACTTTTTCTCTCTAGAAGCACCAGGGGAGTCGTCCCCTTCTACCAGCACCATGAAAGCAACTTCCTACAATTTCCTGCTCACTTGTGAAGATTAATATGGATATTAGAGAAAATATATTTGAAGAGATGATTACAGAAGAGAATGGTCTGGTTTCAAAACTTTGGGTGTGAAGAAGGCGAAAGGGGTTCGAGAGAGAGAGGGAGAGAGCAGAGTGGGCTTCGAGGTAGGGATTATCTACAGTCACCACTTCGATTTGGGTTGTTGATCTCACTGTCTCGATTTGTTTATCTTCACAAACAATTAGTATAAGATTTGGGTTGTTGATTTGGGTTCTTATTTTGGTTTACAACTATGATTTTCATCAGAGAACAATGGCGGTTTCAAGGTTTGATTAGGAGAGAGAGAGAGAGTAGTGGGCCCCCTTCTTTATTTGTTTTAATATTAAAATTTAAATAAAAATAAAAATAAAGTGTTTAAAAAATGAAAAAACAAATTAAAATGGTAGATTGGTCTTTTCAAGTTTAACAGGGACCAATTTTACAATGAAACTAGCCGAAAAGGACCATGAAACCAAAAACATCGAGGTTTGGACGAAAACCCCAAAAAAATGCATACCACAGGGACCATTCTTGCAGTTTTGTCTTTAATGTATTATGGATATCTTAAAAATCAGAAGATGACAAAACTGCACAAATGGTCCCTGTGGTTAGCTCAAAATTGCCACTTTGGTCCAAAAAAGTTTGGAGTAGCACCACGGGTTCAAACTTTTCATTTTGTTGCGAGTTTGGTCCAATTTGCTATGAACTTTTTTATAATGACGATTTTGCCCGTATTTTTTTTCTTTTTCAGTTTTTTTATTAATTCTATTAATTTTTTATGAAATAAATAAAAAAACAAAATAGAAAAACCAACTAACCCCTCCATCTCTCTCTCTCTCTCTCACTATCTCTCTCTCTCCACCGTGTCACTGGAAACCACTGTTAGCTGCCGAAAGCCACCGCCACCTGCCAGAAACCACCACAATCTGCCGGAAATCGCCGCCACAACCACCATCCTTGTCGGAAACCACCTTCAAAACCTCCATTTTAACCGCATTTCATCTTTCTGTTTCTTCACTCTCTTCTTCTCCGAAAACCTCATGAACTATCACCACCATTTGATGAATTCAAACATAATTTTTCCAAATATGAAAAACAAAACATTCTATTTTTTTAGATCTGAAAAACAAGAAGTATTTACAGATTTGTAAACCACAAGATCAACTAGATTTGTAAAGGCACAAGAACTATTTACAAATTTTTAGAAGCTTAGCATTCTTAAATCAAATTTCAAAAAAATCTACACTGATATGGATCTAGAAAGACGAACACAACGTTGAACACGACGCTGATATGGATCTAGAAAGACCAAGACAAAAAAATCTGGCAGCGAAGACATGGCCTGAGTCGTTCGAAGGTGTTAAAACCCCTTCATCAGAGCTTCCATCATCTTTAGATCTTGAAAAAAGGACGATAGGTTTTTTTTTTTCAGAATTGTAAAGGACGAAGCTACGATTTTTCTCAGTTTCTCTTCTTCTCCGCCGCCCTTCCCATATGGATTAGGGTTTTTGTCCTGAAAATCGAGCTACCACTGTGGGATGGGTTTTCAGATATGAAGAGGAAGAGGGTTTTCAGATCGATAGATCTGAAGAAAGTTTTCAGACTTCACCGGCGTAGATTCGTTCTCGTCTGAGGACATCGGAGACCTGTGCTCGCGGCTGAAGTCTCTCGAGGCAAAGAGGCGGATTTTGATTCAAGGGTTTGTCCTCCGTCGTTTCGTCTTCAGATCACCATGTGTGTGTTCAGATGAAGAACCCGAGAACCGATGAACTCGATCTGATTCCGTCTTCATGATTTCGTCTTCTGATTTCATTTTCTTCTTTCTCCATTATTGTGTTTAGGGAGAAAAGTCTAGAGAAGAAACATATCTCAGATCTAGTTTTGGTTTGACGAGAGAGAGAGAGAGAATTTTATTTTTGTTTTATTTTTAATTGTTTTCTAATTACTGTAATAAAAGAAAAATGTAAAATAAAATAATAAAGGGCAAATCCGTCATTATAAAATGACAAAATTGCAAAAATGGTCCCTGTGGTTGGCAAATTTATGTGCTTTTGGTCCAAAACGAAACTTTGGTGCACCACTGGTCCAAAATTGGATCTTTTTATCGGTTTTGGTCCCTAGCCACTTAAAAAGACGATTATGCCCCTCTTATTGTTTTATTTTATTTTTTTATTAATGTTAATGATTTTTAGTAATTAAAAATTATAGAATATCCCATTATCCCTCTGTCACTCTCTCTCACTCACACACACATATACTCTCTCTCTCTCACACACACACACACACATCACCGGTGGTACCTCTCATCTCTTCTACCCCTCTTACATCTCTTTCACTCTCTCAAGAACACCCCGACTGCCACCACCATTCACCTACACCGTCCGCCGCTAGATGCCGCCCGATAACCTTCAGACGCCACCGATCTGTTTGTACACCGGGGAAGTAGCGACCAACTGGATCAACAAAGACGATGAGGGAATTTAAACCCAAACTGGGTCAAGACCTACATTCAAACTCCGATGACGAATTTAGATCTGGATGTAGGCTCTTCTGTTGATCTACAATTGCATCTCCTTCTCAACCCTAATCCCGGTTAAATGTATCGATGAGTGGTGGTGAACGGTTTATGGTCGACCGATGAGTCAAAGTCATGTCTGAAC